TGATAATTGGTGAAACAGCCTGCGAGCAGCTGTGAGGTGAGAGAAGGTTGTGTGGTGTTTAGTACAGAAGGCAGAGGGGAGGAGGAGGAAAGTTAGAGCGCAAGAGACGAGCAAAAAGAAAAAGAAAGTAAGAAAGAGGAGGAGAAAGAAGGGAAGACAGGCAAACTGAGAAAGTGGATTTGAAACCTGAACATAAGAAAAACTGAAAAAGTCACGCTTTTCCTATTTCTAAATCATAAAAGCTATAAATGATTCTTTTCTCATCTTTTAGTCTTTTCTGAAGGAACATTTAAACATTTTATCCTATCAGTATCACACTTTCATCCCCGTTTATTAACAAAATAAAGTTTATCCATCGCAAAGTGTACTGTTTTCTCCAGTTATCCAACAAGCATGTTGAACATTTAGTTTGCTGTTTGTTAGAAAATTATTTTTTTAATAAAGGATAAAAATAACCAATAAATCATTTGACAATGAGTCACGTTAATCTGCAAATTTAAAAATGGATGAGTTCTGCTGTAAAATCTAAGAAAAGGCTTCGACTATATTACAAAGCACGATCTCCTTTTCTTTATTTTAGCTTAAAAAATGTGTTTTACATACTTTATGCACAGCCATGAGTTGCCTTCACCGTTACTTTTAAATATTTATACAACATATTCTTCTTGTTCTCAGTTACATTGACAAAAGAAAAAATATATAGTTTAGCTTTTTTGTACAAAATAAAAGATTTCTGTTTAAAGACGTCATCTGTAGAAATCAGTCGTCCTCTCTGACTCTGCTGTCCTGCTCCAACTCTCCACCCTCCCTCCCTTCGTTTCCGAGCAAAAAAAGAAAAAAGCAGCAACACAGAAATAGTGAAATAAATAATTAACTGGTGCAGCAAAACATTGTGTGCTAAAACCCCTGTGTAGTTTGGCAATCAGCGTGCCCATATAAAAATAAATCAAGCTGATTTTCCAAATGTTTTGTGCGTGGTGCGCTGTTGCCGCTCTTCGCAGCACAGATTGCAGGCCGATGGAGAGGCTGTGGGGAGGGGCGGGGCGCTGGATATTGAACCCACTTACACCAGCTTGTTAACACGTACACCTTAACCCCCGAGCGGCGCGGCGGGGCGCCCGCTGAGCAATCAGGGCCCGCAGGGACCAACTAACATATACCCAATGTATGGACACACACACATTGTGGGAGTGTGTGCCGCAACACAACTACAGCTCCATATGACGTTCTGACTAACAGGAAGCACAAACAAGACTGAAAACACTCGGAAAAGATTTCTCAATGTTCAGGCCTGCTTGTGAAAGTTACATGCTACAAGACTTCTGTCGGTAAAGTTCTGAAACTATACTGCATCTTTGTTTTATTGTAAAGTTGGATAAGAAAGTATCTGCGGTACTCAAACACACAGAAAAAAACAGCTGCAATGAGTTCCTTAAGAAATTACATCTATCTAAAATTTAAAAAAAAGGCACGGTAAGAACTTCATCTCTGACTCTTTGCAACAAATCGTAAAGAGAATCATGTGCAAACTAAGATAAGTTCAAATCAAATAAAAAGATCCTCGAACACAAACCATCCACGTTGAACGTTAAAAACGTTAAAACGGGGTCACGCAGAGCAGCGTTCGTCCCCAAAGTGTCCTCCTCTTTAACTGAACTCTGGAGATCTTTAACCGTCAGGAGGATTCATCCACAAACTAAGTGTCAGAACGGAAAGTAAAACTTCATAAATGCCAAGAATGATTATCGTGGTTCAGTTGGGAGAAGAGAGAAGTTGGGTGCCAACTTCCCAGCCAATCCATTTTTGGCAGCCAGAATCCAACTCTGCTTACCCTCCTGAGAACATGCAATAGCTACCCATATGCACGCAAACATGCGCACGCACTTCCACACTCACAGGGAAAAATACCACCGTAACATATGCACCGCAACATACAGAACATTCGTATTTTAGTCCTTAACAACTGAAAATGTTTTTCTTTTTCTCTTGAAAGTAAAACAGACACGCAGGAGCAGGAAGCAGCTGTGGATTCGTAAACTTTGTTTTTTTTGGCAGCGTCTGCCCGACGGCAGGTTAACACCGGTGGGTGGAAGACAATATGTAGTGTCAGTGATGGAGCAGGAAAAAAGGGTGAGCGCATGTGTATATGTGTGTGTGTTAGGCTGTGTGTGAGCGGGACGTGGAAGTGCTGGTGGTGGGGCACTGGGGTAGATAGAGATCCTGCAGAGTGGGGCGACAACACCCACATACCCTCACCCACACTGACAGAGCCAGGCTGCATGCCAGGGGCCCTGTGGAGACACACACACACACACACAAACACACACACCAACTGGGCTCCACACTCAGGAGGCAGAGACCCCAGCATCACACACACATACACCAACAAAAACCAGTGATAGAGAAACTTTTAGCTGAAACTTTTGAAGTGATAAAAGTCAACAAATGTTCATACTCAAAAAGATTATATCAGCCATGAATCTGTCAAACTATTTTCTTTTAACCGACTAGGAAATGAAATCAACAAATTTAACTCAGTTCAACTTCTCAACAGTTTAATGCTATAAACTAAAAATTGCTCTGAATCATCATTCATTTGCAATAATTTCCAAACAGGTGATTGATAAGTATCTGATTCTACCTCTTCCCGTTAATGCAGAACTGTACCAGGAAAAAAATAAAATAAAATGCTCAAATGTTTATCTTCCTCTTTTTAAGACACAAACTGTCTCAAAAGCAAAGGTAGAGAAACAAAACACCTTTGCTTGTGGGGTAGGTCTGCAGTAGCATGTCATGTACAGCCAGGTAGGATTTGTAAATATGGATCTTTCAAAAAACTGTTAACATAAGCAGACCTTGGACAAGAACGTGGAAGTTGAAGCCTGAACGGGACCAGGTTCCCTATCAGTTGGTTCCAGTACAAGTTTTAAGTCCCGCCCCCTCTGTGTAAATAAATGGATCATTGCCCTTGTTACAAAAAAAATAGTACCAATTTACAATAAGGCTCCCCTTATAGATGGCTAATAGCTAGTTTATAGATATGTTATTAATTCCTCTATAAACCCTTTATAAATCATTAATAAGTGCTTATTATGCATTAATTAAGGGTGACAAAGAGACAAAGCTGACCAGTTTCTTGCCAAATAGTGAGTCAAATCTGTTCACCAATATATTTCATCTAGAGTTGTTATATTAAACATTTCAGACTGAGTTACTACCTTGTAAGCACAATAATATTGTATTTTATCACTGCATTGCAAGTATCTACAACTAATATTATATCCAACAAAAAAATAGGTTTACGAATGCCTATTGTGCTTACAAGGTAGTAACTTAGACTTAAATTTTAATATATTAACTCTAGATGAAATATATAGGTGAACAAATTTGGCTCACTATTTGGCAAGAAACTGGTCAGTTTTGTCTATGTTACCTTTAATTAATGCGTAATAAACTATTATTAATGATGTAGAAAGTATTTATAGAGAAATTAATAATGTATCTATAAAATATTTATTAGCATCTATAAGGGGAGACTTACTGTTAAGTGGTACCAAAAACATTAAAAAAAAATTTTTTTTAAATGTTTAGCTGTAAATTTTGAAGCTCTTGTTTGATTAAGCAAAGCATTTAATTTCCTTTATTTAACCTAGTTTAAAACCTCACTGAGGTCAAGATCTCATTTGCAAAAGGGGCCTGGGCAAAAAGTAAACAGCAAACATCATAAAAGAGTCACAAATAAGTAACAAACAAATAAAATGACAAATATCTGAACAAGTGAAACGATCATAAAAGGCAGAAACTGTAATAAAAATAACATTATTTAAAAACACAGGCAAAGATTAATGGATTCACGTCGCTTATTGTTAAGAAATTATCATTATTGTATTACTCCAGCGTTTTATAGTCTTTTATCTTTGCTCTTATTCAGAGCTTGCTTTTAATTACTAAAGTTATAAAATGTTCTTGCTCTTTGAGTGTCTGTTCTCTTTTAATCTGTCAAAATGCTTTTATTGTTTTTCTGCACCTGTTATTATGTCTTAAATAGATTATGTAAAGCACTTTGAGTTGCCCTGTTGCTAGATACACCATACAAATAAATCTGCTTTGCTTTGTAATTAGTTCTTTCATGCTTAAAAGAAAGATCATGTAACACCATAATCTTTGCAGGGGAGTAGGCGGGACCTGAAGTTGCTCATCGCTACAGCCCAGACTGACAGCTTCCATAGAACGGTCCCTGCTAGCTTTAATTTCCTACAAGAGAAGCCGGTGTTGGTCTAACGATACAATATGTTTATAGTATATTTACAGTAAAATGAAAAGCATTATTTTTTTTTGATCTAGTGGTTTAAATAGTATATTCCTCTGCTTCTTTTCTGCTGCGGCTGTTAGCAAAATGCAGTGAAATAAAACATACGCCCGCATCTAGATTTGAGCAGTAATCGCGTGTGTTTGCCGTAGTTATCAGTTACTACAATATTTCAACGTACTCGTCAAACATCTGTACTGTGATGATTCTGTACAAATGCATGTACCATTACACCATTAATATAAAGTATTCAGTGTATGTAGGAAACAATAAGGAATTAAAGAAGACAGGAATTTAAATGGATGTTAAACTCAGCTGATTTACACCGTTTGTCTGCAACTTATAGTATTTTGTGTTAAATAACAATTTGAAGAATCCATGAAGTGTGACAAAATAGAGTCCAAAACAACCAAACCCTGATAAACTTGAAGACATTACCTCGTTCCAAATACTGTAAACTGCTGCCGCAAAGTCTTCAGTTATTGTTATAGATAAAATAAATCAGAGGAGCTGATGATTGTTTAAAGAAGGATTTTAAAGAAAACAATAAGTTATGGCACAATGCTATAAAGTATACACTAAAATGCTTCGAGTTGAACAATTGTTCCTGGGTCCACATTCTGACTGTCATAGACAATCATAAATGTGTGTATGCCCAGCTTGTGTTGTGTTGCATGTACAGATGGCCCACCTGCCCCTCATTCGATGGTGCATGCGCCCATGCTGGACACACTGTTCCTCCAGGTCGGAGCAGCGAGCTCTCAGACTCGTCACCGTCTCCTCCAAGTGTTGCTTCTCCAGTGTCAGCTGTTCCAGCTCACTTCTGCAAAAACACAAAGAGGATTTACCTTTCCCTGCAAGAGCTCTTTAACAAGACAAATACTAAAACAGCTTTGCTGAAAAATGTGCTTTGTTGATGCATTTAAATAATGCAAAAGTGAGCGATGGCCTGTCACTTTCAAATAAAAAACAAAGTAGAAAAGTCATAGAATCTGTGTTTAGGTCTCAAGTCTTCACAGATCCAAAGAGAGGACTATGAAAAGTAAAGACAAGTTCTGAACACATGAAGTAGATTTGTATTTTACAACAAATCTGTTTGAATTAAAGTACCGGTAGTTATTATTAATGATGGTATGTAAATACAAAAACTGATTCAATTGATTCTACAGATATTAAAAGATTATAACCATATTTTGTGCTGTATAAGTCGCACCTTTTTGCATGAATTTGCAAGTCCTGCGACTTATACACCAAAGCGACTATAAGTTTTTTTCCCCATATTTATAACCCAATTTTTGCCTGAAATCTGACGATTTCATTCATTCTGACATGAAAAATATTAAACATTACCATTTGCAGCTGCTATAGGGTTTTAAAGTAACATGGCAAGCCAAGTGTCTCATTAATAGGCAAAAGTGGCTATTAATGAGACACTTGGTTTGCCATACAAAGCCACCATCGTCTCGCACTGGAACTCCTGGAGCAAACGTCAAATCAGCTGCATTTCACCGCGCCGCCCAGGAGAAATGCAGCTGATTTGACCATTAAAGTGCATTTAATAAGGAAAAGTTCAACTGAGACACACCTTTGCTATCATTTTGAGCAAACAAATAATTGTTTTTAAGTGTTAATCTTGTTAAATTCTTGTTAAAATCCTCCCATGTGCACTCCCACAGCCGCCATGTTGGCAGCCAATCGATTTTTGGCACAACATCGCCCACGTTTCCGGATGGTCAACGGGGACGCAAAATAGATGCAACTTAGATGGCGAAGCGACATATTTATGTTTTTTTCCACTTTATTAGACATTTTTGGACTGATGTGACTTATACGGCGGAAAATATGGTACTTAAAATAAAACACTTACATCAAACCAATTTTTAGATTATTATTTGAGAACTTTTTCTTTAATTGGTCTGTAAGATTTAAAGGAAAGCGAGTGAAAATTAAAGACATTGCATACTTTGAAGAAATGCACGTTGCCCGCTGCCTTTCATATCAGAGATTTCATCTAAAATAATCTTAGACAGTGAGCTATAGCCATTACAGTTTCAGTCGCCCAAAATCAGATAAATAAAACTGACTGAATTAGTCATTTTTGTGTGTTTAGAGTTGCCAAGTTGTTGCAGCCATCTTGAATGAGGTGGTCTCTAAAAGTTAAACACTCGTAGAAGAACATTGGATGATTGTTTTCTGAGAGTTTTCTTAAAACCGATCAAGTGAGGCATTTAGTTAACGATACAAAAAAAATCAACACGATAAAATGATAAAGTCTGATTGAATAGACATCAACAGGACATACCAGTGAAAAGAATTCATCAGTTTACTAACTCATCTTGCTGCAGCTGTCTCTGTGTACCCTCACTTAGCCTGACTGAGGCTGTCCAGCAGGACTTTAACCGCTAGAGCGGGCCTGGACTCCAGGAGCGCAAACACCCTGAGGCACAAAAACACCACACACCCCAGCTTAAACTGCATAACGCACACACACACACACACACACACAGAGCAAAATAGACGACAGGAGGCTTCAGGCCAGTGAGTCAGTATGAGTGTGCATAAAGAAATACACCAGTGTAAATTAGTACAGTCTGTACCAAAAGAAACTACTCGGGGTACTTTGGTCTGTGTGTGTAACTTGGTGAGGCCAGTGCGGTCTGGCAGGGCCAGATTGGGCTCTGTCATGTGACTAATGTGTACCACAGCTCCAACAGCTGACAGGACACTGGGCCCAGGGTCACACTCGTACACAAACACACACTTGCATACTAACAGGAACACATACACAGGCAGCCCAGATGGATATCTGAGCAGGCCTGCTGTGACTACTGTAGCATCAGGTTAACGAGAAAACAGGTCAGACTGGAAAGTAGTTTGTAGTATTTTCACATGTTCTGCCGAACAGCCTGAACGGATGATGCTTTTGTGAAATGGTGACATGGATGGACGGGGGGAATAAACCACAGAGTGAGAGAACAAACAAATGTTCAACAAAGTAAGAAAAAGGTCTAAGTGATTAAATAAATGACGGGGTGGTTTAGGGAATAAATAAGTCGAAGTACTGACCTGCTGCTTTGAGACAGTTCTTCCAGTTTGGCTCCCAGTTTGAAGCATTCTTCTTTCAGTTTCCTGATGAGGGAATTCTGGGACGTCAAGAGTTTATCCATCTCTCCAACTGCAAGGAATCATGAGAAAGTTGACATCACACTGCTGGATGCATCATTTCTCATCATAAAATGCTTTCAGTTTAAAACTGGCATGAAAGGCAGTGGGCGATATGTCACTTAATGGAGCGGTCGGCTTTAAGTTTCTTTACTTTCATCAAGGCATGTCTTAATGAGGACAAGAAAAATGTATTACAATGATAAAAAAAAAAACATTTTGAGGTTTATGCTGCTTTAGTTCAACATTTCTGCTACAATGAGAAGAAAAACAAATAAATAAATCACATAAAACTAGACAGCCTCGTGTTCAAAAAGAAAACATTTACTTTATGGAGAGAGTAATGCCATGACACCTACTGTGACAAATTTTGCAGTAAAAGCCAAAGACACGAGTCTCTGAATGAGTCTCTACAAAAACGCACTTGTCAACATTCTCATTAACATAAAAAATGTTGAAAATCCAGAGAAAATGTACAGTAATAAACACTCATACATAGAAAACAAAATGAAAATATAAAAAAAGGTAAGTCGAGATCTATTTTTTTTGCTTGAAAGCTTTTTTTTTTCCCCTGTTCCACTATTTTTGCCACATTCTAATCCACACTTGGGGGTCTCTTTCTGAACAATCCAACAGTGGGCTTTTATCGTTCCTTTGAAATGATCTACGTTTCGCTCTCGAACATATGTCTACTCTTTAAAAGGAACACCAAAAAAACAAAACAATGGCTGTCATTTGGTTTGAGGGAACGATCCACCTGCTCCAGCATTCTGTTACTGTCAACCAAACAACAACAAAAAAAAAAACCACCAAGTACTTTGAAAAGTAACTCAGACTTTTATTTGCGTGCAGTAAAGATAAAAAATGTTTAAATTAAAATAAGGACGGTGGATCTCAGTGCTGTACAATTTACCTGCAGCTTAGACCTATTAGTTTGAATACTTCGTATTTTGGAAAATGTATTTAAAAACAATTTATGTATAAGTTAGTATAAAGGCCAGTTTTCTGGTGAACCTCCCCTAATGACTGGATTTTATTTTATGTTTTCTATCTGGGTACAGTTTCCGTTGAACCCCTGTCACGGACAATGCACAGTGAGCAGAAACTGGATGCTACAGAGCACATTAAACTATTAAACTACAAAAACTTGCAGCCGTGCACGCGCATATACACTCAGCAAAGTTTTGTCAGTGCCGGGAAAGTTGTATGAAGAATGCTAATTAGCAGAACAGGCTTTGAATATGTCTGGCCATGCGTAGGCCAAAAAGAACCCTGGGACACAGAAACACAGCAGAACTGGCACTGGAAACAAACAGAGGAGAAATGAGGGAGGGATGGAGGAAGGGAGGGAAGAATCATGGCAGGGAGGGAGGGAGGGACGGACAGAAACAAATATCTGATACCATCTAGGGGCTGGTCTGTACACATTTACTCAAAAAAGAAACATGAAAAAAAAAGGGTGGGAGGCAGAGGGAGAAGAAGGGAGAGGGGGACGGATGGATGGAAGGACAAACGGATGGACGGAGAGGCGGGATTTGGAGAGCAAGAAAGCTAATTATCCAGCTCGTCTGTTGGGCTGCGCAGGGAGAGGAAGTGATGCGAGTTACTAAAGGACATCCACCCCTCTATCCCCTCCCCATCCACAGCTTCCTGCTGTGCTCTGATGTCAGCTCTCTTTAGACAACATGTGTGCCGCCAACACGCGCCAGAAAGAAACTCTTTGTTACCCCCCACCCACCATCTACTCTTCCCTCCATACCCTCCATCTTTGTTCTGTGTACCAGCAGGCTCCCTGGTTGCTGATGAGAACCACAGGTAAATAAAAAGATGGGATAAGGGAGGGAGGGCGAGTGATTGAGGGTGGGTGGTGGGTGGGGGATCCAGATGGTGCAACAGATGTGTTAACAGCAGCAGCTCTGCTGTGCAGACAGACAGGGAGCTCAGAGATGGGTCTTTCTGTGCTCTGCTCCCATCACCTTCCCTCTTCCTTCTCCTCCACAACTCTCTATTCTCTTCTTTAAATGCCATCCTGCTCTTTCCTTTTGTTCTGCTCCTTTTGAGGTCACTTCAGCTGAGATGTGTTCCTGTACATGCCGTTACAGCAGGGATCCTTCATCTGAATGAGTCACGATTCTCCTGCGGCCCTGCTGAACTATGTTTCAGGAAGACCCTCCCAGCACAGTGGCTGGGAGACTATAGAAGAAACTGGTCAAGGTCTGTTCTGGGGTTTGTTTTGACCCAGTTCGCAATAACTTCATCCTTAAAGCCAGTCTGTATCCTTTACAGTTGAGTTATTCATATTCCTTCTCCCATAAAATGTGTCCAGAGCTACAAGCTTGAAATAAAGATAACACAGCTTAAGTGTTACCGACATATAAAAATAGATTTTGTGACAAATAATTAAAGCTCTGCAAAAAACAGAACAAAAAAATAAAAATAAAACAAACAATCCAAACTCCTTTCAAGAAAGAAACAAAATGAAAACTTTTTTGTGTAACTATGCAGACCTGTGAGTCTTCTCTTTATTTGTGGAAAATTAATGAGTATGAAATAGTAAAGCAAAAAATAAAAATAAAAAATCAAGTGAAAATACAAATGAGGACATTTTGTTGAGACACATTTCCTGTCATAAAGGCAGACCTTTATTTATTTCAATCTTTTTTGTAACTTTTATCTTAAACAAAATATTAGTTTTGTTTCTCGTTATCAAAATGGATCAACATATATTTCTATTGTTTTCGTGACTGTAAATTTACGTTTGGTCGTATGTCATCGGTCAACTGCTGGCTTTCCAGGTGGTGTCCTGAAAACAATGTGGGTAACTGGAGTGCATTTTGGGGAAACCTAGTCTGATTTGAAGAGATGGTATCCATCCCACTTTGATGGAGCTACTCTTCTTTTTAGAAATGTGGCTGATTTTGTTAGTTCTCCAAAAAATGACTGGCAACCCAGGGTCCAGTCCAGGAAGCAGAGTTGTAGTCGTCCACACCTCTCTGCTGCGTCTCCTCTGTTACCCACCCACACCCCCATAGAAACAGTGCCAGCTCGTTCATGGCCCAAATTAAATAAACCAAAAATCAGCTCTAAAAATATAAATCATAAAAATCTTATTAAAATAAATATAGTTACTTTACCAGAACAAAATAATAAAATCATTAAATGTGGATTATTGAACATCAGATCTCTTTCCTCTAAGTCCTTGTTAGTTAATGATCTGATCACCATATTGATTTATTCTGTCTGACAGAACTTGGCTACAACAGGAGGATTTTGTTAGTATAAATGAATTGCTGGGAGCCTGTGTACACGATTTCGTTCCACCTCATGTACCACATGTGATGCGAATGACAATAAAGAACCTTGAACTTGAACTTGAATCCACTCCCGCTAATTATTTCAATTTTCATGTTCCTAGAACAACTGGTCGAGGTGGAGGAGTAACTGCTATCTTGCAGTCAGAATTATTGATTAATAACAAACCAATTATTAGTTAAAATACTTTTGAGTAGCTGCCCCTCAGTCTTCTCATCCAAAATGGAAATTTCACTAGCCACTTTTACTTGTTGTTATACGTCATCCACCAGGCACTTAGTCTCAGTTTTTGTCTGAATTCTCAGATTTTCTGTCTGACTGATTACTCAATACTGATGAAGTCATAATAATGGGGGATTTCAATATTCATGTAGATGTTCGAAGCGATAGCTTAAGCATAGCCTTTAAAAATTTTATAGCGTCAATTAGTTTTACCCAAAACGTCCACACATCTACTCATTTGCATCATCACACTCTGGATCCGGTTCCCACATACAGTATGGCATAGAGATTACCATAAGTACTGGTACTTATCAATACATCCTCAAAATCCAGTTCTGTCTGGCCATTTTTAATAACCTTTGAGTTTACATTAAATGATTACACAGTCACTGAGAGTAAATGTCATTATAGTAGGTGTTTAGCAGAGAACGTTGTAACCAAATTTAACGAATCTCTTCCATTGTTGTTTTCCTCTCTCTTGCAGAGTAATACAATAAAGAGCAATGACTTAAATGATCTTGTTGATAATTTTACATCTTCAATGCAAACTTAACTTGATAAAGCTGCACTGCTGGAAAAAAAAGTGATAAGTCAGAGGAAGCTGGCTCCTTGGTTCAATTCTGAGTTATGTACTCATGACGCTACTCAAACAGGCATCTAGAAAGCTGGAAAGAAAATGTCGCTCCACTAACGTGGAAGTATTTAATTTACTTGGAGAGATATAGCCTGCCAACTTATACAATGACGAAATTTGTGCTCTACATTTAACCCATCACACGTGAGATACACCCAGGTGGAGCAGCAAGCAGTTATGTAAGCACCTGGGGAGCAGTTAGGGATTAGGTGTCTTGCTCAAGGACACCATGACATGTGGAGTTGAACCTGCGACTTTCTGGTCCATGTCAGCTGCCTTACCTCTACACCACAGCGGTTCCTTTAACGCAGTCCTTCTCAAATAATGTGGCGCCCTGGGACGATGCCAAGGGGGGCGCGTGTGACCCCAGAGAACATGCTTTTTTTGCCGCAGGGAGTAGTAGTTTTTTTTTTTTTTTTAACCGTTCTCATTTTGACAGGGTGCATTCCGGCAACTGTTTGCTCGTATCTGGCAATTCTCAGGCTTACTACGGTAATAATAAAGTTATGAACAAATTTGACTGGAGCCAAGCTTGAATCGTGTCACTCCTTTCTGCTGCTGAGATGATAAATAACTCCGACACCACCGCTGCTGTTTTTGTGACTCTCTGGACGCTTGTCACCCACAGCACGCATGCAACAAAGAGTATAAACTCAAAACGAGAGTGACACCTGCCCCTTCTTTCCTCTTTCGCGTTGACAAAATGTTTTAGTTTTATCAATGAATTTGTCAAAAAAAAAAAATTGACTTTTTGTTTGTTTGTTTGTAAATACAGAAGTACGGTGGCGCAACTGGTAGAGCTGCTGCCTCTCAGCGAGCAGGTCCCTGGTTCAAACCCTGGTCCAGGGGCCTTTCTGGGCGGAGTTTGCATGTTCTCTCCGTGCATGCGTGGGTTTTCTCTGGGTGCTCCGGTTTCCTCCCACAGACCAAAAACATGCATGTTAGGCTGATTGGTAACTCTAAATTGTCCCTAGGTGTGAGTGAGAGAGTGAATGGTTGTTTGTGTTGTTTGTCTCTATGTGGCCCTGTGATGGACTTGCGACTCGTCCAGGGTGTACCCCGCCCCTCGCACAGTGATTGCTGGACATGGGCACCAGCGACCCCCGTGACCCAAAATGGAATAAACGGGTAAAGATAATGGATGGATGGATGGATGTTTAATACATGTTAGGACTCAAGATGATACCTGCCCCCTCTTTCGCAGAAGATCATGGACATTCTTCTTCCTTTTGCAACTTTGTGAGACTGACTTCTCTATTGTTGCTGCACTGAAGACCAAGTCCAGGTCCCAGCTAAACATTGAGCAGGAGCTGAGAGTTGCAGACAGTACCATGCTGCTGACAACCAAACTGGTTGATCCGCTCTGAGAAGGTGCTATTTGAGAGACTGAGCTGAATACAGCACCTCAGACTGGGGAAGTCTTTTGGATGAGAGACGAAACGTATCTACATTTTTTTGTTGTTTTGCTTTGTTTTGTTTTTTTGAATGTCCAGAGGACCAGATTTAACTTTTTTAGATTTTTCTACCTGGATTATTGAGCATGCATCAGGATATACTATTTACAGTCGCGGCAGAGATTTGGGGTGTGTGAAATGATGACCCTTAATTTTCTGCTTTTAAACTCAGACAAGACAAAGGCTGTTGTTTTTGAACAGAGCAGCTTAGGAATAAACTTTGCAGCCTTTCACCTCCTCTGGATGGCATTAACTTGGCCTCCAGTTCTAATGTCAAAAACTTAGTGTTATTTTTGATCAGGATATGTCTTTTAACCCACATATTAAAATAGTTACCAGGACCACTTTCCTCCACCTGCATAATATCGTTAAAATTAGAAACATCTTGTCCAATAAATGATAAAGAAAAACTGGCCCGTGCATTTGTCACATCTAGGCTGGACTATTGCAATTATTTATTATCTGGGTGTCCAAAAAAGTCTTTAAAAAGTCTTCAGTTAATCCAAAATGCTGCTGCCAGAGTTTTAATTAGAGTTGGTAGGAGAGATCATATTTCTCCAGTTTTAGCTTCTCTCCATCGGCTCCTTGTCAAATAGAATAGAATTCAAATACTTACTTCTAACATACAAAGCTCTCAACAACCTACCTCCATCTTATGTAACAGATCTTATTGTTCCATACTTTTCTAATAGAGCACTTCACTCTCAGACTGTAGGTTTACTTGTGGTTCCTACAGTTTCCAAAAGCAGAATAGGAAGCAGAGCTTTCAGTTATCAGGCTCCTGTCTTGTGGAACCAACTTCCAGTTTCTGTCCGTCAGACTGACATATTGTCTACTTTTAAGATTAGGTTTAAGTCTTTCTTTTTTATAAATCCTATAGTTAGGGTCAGCTTGGGTTTCCTGAGCTATCTCTTAGTTATGCTGCTATAGGCTTAGACTGCTGGAGGACAAGCCGACTATATTTCCTCACTCTGCTGCTGTCTTTACGTTCTCCACAGTACCTGTTTGAATTTGTGTTTCTGTCCTTAACATGAGTTTCTTTTCTTTCCACTGAAAGTGCACCTGGACCTGTCATTCTGTGCTTGTCTGTTTCTCCTTCCTGTCCTCTCAAACCCCAGCCAGATGAAGCAGATGGCTGCTCGGCCTGAGCCTGGTACTGCTGGAGGTTTCTTCCTGTTAAAAGGAAGTTTTTCCTTCCCACTTTTGCCTTTGTACTTGATCAGGATTGGAGACTGACAAAAAAGTGGATTCAACGCAAACTGCTAACTTCCTTAGATAGATAACTTTTACTAATTGGCTTTTATAATGTTTATGAATGTTTTGTACAGTGACTTGAGACAACCTCTGTTGTTACTTGAAGCTATATAACTACACTGAATTGAAATTTTAAATTAATAGTTTCCATGTTAGTTTCTAAACTGCAAAGAGCCATTGCAGAGACAAAAAATGTGGCTCAGACCACATTAAGCCTACAAAGACATTGGTATTAAACTTATAATTTAGTTATTATTCAGGTTTGAATGTTGCAGTTCTGATGTGATCATCTCCTGTTTTTTTTTTTGTTTGTTTTTTTTTTTTACCATCACCAAAGTTCAGAAAAACCACCCCCAGTTATCTCAATGCGCTCAACTTCTACATTTTTCATTTCTGTTTTCTCAATGTTTGTGTTGTATCAAAGCCCAACACAACAACATCACTGTGGGGAAATTTTAATTCAATATCCAATCCACTTCTCATTCATGCATGACTGCATTGATAAACTTGACAACTGAAGACCACAATGAACATCGGAACATAATAAAAATGCAATCCACAATTAAATTAAACTTTAATTAACGTGATGGCAAACATGGTAGCTTGTGCACCTACAGCGGAACTGGTGTTCTGCAGCTATGTAGCTATTTCATAAAGTGTTTGTGGCTTCTCACTGAAAACCTTCAAACACAACCATATGTGAAGATTTGCGCCCACCATCCACCTGTCCTTTAGTCACATATGACTACTACCTATTTCTATATTCACATCAGCTATTTTTTAGGATTTATTTATCTGTTAATAAGTTAATTTAAGAGTTTCTGACTTAGCTTTTGAAGTTGTATCTTCCTTTGAGTTTACAACAGCAGAGAAAATATGAAATATTATTTTAACTGAGACACTTTCAAGAATAAATGAAACTGTATCAGCATGCTGATCATAAAAAGACAGAAATATGTATTTAACATGTATGATTTAAAACTAACCATAATAGCTTTAAAATAAATATAACAACATAAAGCTGTAAAATCCCATTTAAATTAAATAAAAAGCAGGTGAGCCCAGTCCTGAAGAAAATCTGTTTTGGCACACAAAGCTCAAGAAGTGAGAAAACAAAGAAGAAGAAAGTCACATCTCAATTATATTCCCTTTTTTATTATTATTGATTACGTTAGAGAGAGATAAAGATGGCAGAGTGAGACGCACCACAAGAAAATGTCATCAGTGTCAGAAAGCACAAGGAACTACAGCTAGCTGCTGATTTGAGCTGAAGCACTGACCTCTCTGCAGGTGTTTAGCCTCTGTTTTCTGCAGCATTGCAACCAGCTCTTTCTCCCTTTGCTGTGCTGAAAGAGTCACAGAAGATATTTCCTCTGCTTGAGCCCGTTCTGCACTCTTTCTGTCCTGTCTGGGATATAACAAATAGATGTTAAAGCAAGTTAATCAGTCACTAAATGTATAACAGTGCTCAGACTGGATCCTCATTTTAAGGCATTTCATATAAGTTTTTGCAGGAACTCTCATTAAAAATAAAACTCAAGCGTATGAGTGTGACACATATCAATGAAATTAACTTAAAACTGGCTTGCTTCAAATTTCTGTGAATGAGCTGTATGGTTCTCTGGCTCTTCTCTCCACAAGCAAAACTAAACAGAAGTGCCCATTCTTTTACAGTGTGCTATTGCTTTTAATAAAAGCCACGGAGGTAAAGCTTTAAAAAAAATAAATAATTGTGTACATTTAACATAAAATGTTATTTTCTTTTCCTATTTTAATCAAAGCTACATGCCAGTTTTATAGAACCATACAGCTAAAAAAAAAAAATCAGACATTTAGATTATCTTTAAGTTTATCAATTTAAAGATGTGTATTGTGCATTTCAGTACACGTAAACGGCTCTGAAATTTCTAATTGTATTCAAAATGTGATTTTTAAACTTATGTAAAAGCTAGTTTAAGGTCATGCACATTCACAGAGGTTTGAAAACCAATAAGGAGCTGCAGGTCAGTTTGTATCGGTGTTTGTGTTTTTTAGCAACTGTTTCTGTACTAAGCAAGAAAAAAGGTGTTTACTGTAAATTGTGCAGAGAGATAATAAGTGTAGCAAACAAAGACTGATGAATGAAGATGGCCGAAGAACCAGAAGGAGTTCATGTTTTACAACAAGGGGAGAGGAAGGAGAGTGACAGAAAAGACGTGGGGTTGTAGGTGAAATGCGTCATCTTAACGACCCCTGAGTGATGCAGCAGATGTCTGCACTACACACACAACACGCACGCACATTTATACACAGTTTCCTTACATGGGGCTGAGAAAAACACTTTTATTGAGTGATTAAAAATCAGAAATGAAGTGTAAAAAATTGTAATGTAAAAAAACTACCTGTATGCTGTAATGCTTTGCTTAAGCTGTTTTGTACTTTATTAGTAGCTCACAGGTTATATTTGAATAAGCATCAACATAAATGTTTTCCCCTTTCTACCATACACTTCAACAGGACTGCTGACATTTTTTGTTGCAAGTCTTTTTTGTCCACTTTTCATCAAAAACGAGCAGGTAACTAAGATGGCACCAACTTTGAACGGCTCTGCATTTTGTTCCCGCTTGAATCAAACTTTATAGTTTAACCAAGTCCAAACGCACTGAGATAACAGAGAAACGTACAAAGAGAGAAAAGAAGACAAAAAAAACTACAAAGACAGAGAAAGAAAAAAAAAAAAAACGAACAAATAAACAGAACTCTTCCTGAAGTCCAAAGGCGCTAATGAAGAGAGAATTCTCCAGTTTAAGTGAAAACTTTTCTCCCCTACAGCGCTTGGCCTGCATCTCTAAAGTGACCGCGTCTGTCTGTTCCTTTGCGTGTGTGTGTGTGTTCTCCTGCTGTCCTGCTGTCTGGGGTGTGAAAGCGGGTGGCGGGTGTGCAGGGGACACAAGGAGACTGTGTGTGTCTGTACGCATATGAGTGTGAGCGCATGAACCCCCGCTGGGCTTGAACAGCAGCCTGAGCCACCAAAGCGCACACCAGGGCTCAGCGGGAGATGGCGGGCAGGCATTGCCAGCCATTTGGTCCTGCAAGAGGTTCCAGGGGGCCGTGTATTCGTGTATGTGTGTATGTGTGTGTGTGTGCACACGTTCATGTGCAACCAGGATAGGGGGGTGGAGGGGGAGCTCACACCAGACCTGTTTACCCACCAATTAGCATCAGACAGACTGCCAGAAAGTTCCAGCAGTCAGCTATAGAGTGGTGGTGATGAAGAGGAGGGTGACAAAAACTCAAGATAGAAAAGCAAGGCGACTGAGAGATAAACGTTTGGCATCTGGTTGGTCGTGCTTTTCTTCTTTACTTTGTTATTTTCTACCTGGTACAATACAAAGAACAGAGTGAACAGAATAAAGGCAGTGTTTTCTGGTTGTGAGTGGAAGCTAGTTTAGTTTAGATGCTCAACGCAATAAGTACCTCGACTAAAATCAAAGTGAAGCTGGTAGATCAAAGTTCTGTGGTTCTTCTTCCCGTGCCGTTTTGCAAACCCAATCTAATTCGATCTGCTTGCATGTAAAATGAAGCCACAAAATGGCTGCTGATGATCATTTTCAGATAAAAGCATAAAAGGCAAAATGCAAAAGAAGAGATGTCAGTGGGAAGCAGAAACCTAGAGCAGGTGTTGGGGGTGACGGCTTGAGCCGGGGCTGAATTTACGAGACTGGGACTGTATCGTTCTCCTTGGGCAACAATCTGCCAGCCAGTTAATTGGTGAATGGGCTCTAGGATGGTGCCTGTGGCAGGAACTTGGTTGAGCCTGTGAGGCAATAGGCTGAATGCTCAGTGAGCAGATAGCTGGGCCTGTTTGTCTATGCCTGGCCTGATGAACTGTAGGACAGCTTGATTAGTATGGCGAGAGCTGCGTGGGCCAGAGGCCTAAGGTAGGCTGGAATGGCTCTGGGGCTGCAGCCAGGTACAGTGGCTGCTGGGTAAGTGGGAGGTGGCAGAGGCGGTGGCTGGCTGGCTAACTGGCTGGAGTGATGAGGAAGAAGAGGGAGCCCAGTCCACACTGCCTGCTTAAGTGGGCACTATTCAAGCTGTTGCCCATTAGATGTGGGGTGCCAGAGTCCGACCAAGCGCAGAGTTTGCTGCACCCTATGGTGCAGGCAGCGTTTCACGCCAGAATCACCAAATGCTGCGGTTTATCAGAGAACGAGCACAAATTGGAGTCAGCCGGTGTACTTGGAGGAACTGAGAGAAAATCAAACGGCAAACAATCGAGTAAAGTCGATCTCTACAAACAACTAAACATCTCTTAGGTGCACCTGCACACACACAGCCACGTATGACTGACTGACCTTTAACATTAAAGGTAAAAAATATATATTTATGTTGTAAAATAAGGGGCAGCACGGTGGCACAACTGGTAGAGCTGCTGCCTCTCAGCAAGCAGGTCCTTGGTTCAAACCCCGGTCCAGGGGCCTTCTGGGTGGAGTTTGCATGTTCTCTCCGTGCATGCGTGGGTTTTCTCTGGGTACTCCGGTTTCCTCCCACAGACCAAAAACATGCATGTTAGGCTAATTGGTAACTCTAAATTGTCCCTAGGTGTGAGTGGGAGAGTGAATGGTTGTTTGTCTCGTTTGTCTCTATGTGGCCCTGTGATGGACTTGCGACCTGTCCAGGGTGTACCCCGCCCCTCGCAGTGATGGCTGGACATGGGCACCAGCGGCCCCCGTGATCCAAAATGGAATAAGCGGGTAAAGATAATGGATGGATGGATGGATGTTGTAAAATATAGAATAAGGTGGTGACGTGACTGATGAAGCAGAAACTTTAATTTTCAAACAAAGAGGGAAAGAATACCTACAGTTTTACAACAACCGTTTATGCCGAATGCGATGGTGACTTTAAAAAGAGCAGTTCCTCATATCAGTGCATATTCATATTTTTGATCTGCTGCTCACTAGCAGGTGTGAAATTAACATCTAGGTGAGCAGACTGTGAACTGAACCTAATGCACAAATACAGTCTTTGTTCACAGAAAAGACGACCGACTGCTGCAAATACCCATGAAGCTCGACGAAAAGTTTTTCTAAGATGAGATTCAGAAACCTGAGAAATCTTAATAAGTCTACTGTGAAACGTGAGGAACTTTACTATATAAATAAAAGAAGTTATATATATATATATATATATATATATATATATATATATATATATATATATATTTATTTTATTCTTTTATTTTTTTATTAATCGTATTTTGAATCAAAACTGAAAAAATTAACCAGATGCTGGTTCATTAGGGCAGATGAGGCAAAGCCATCCTAAAAGATAAATAAAAAAAATAGCATTCATCCCAAAAAGCCAGTGGGAGTGGTGGTGCAGAGGTTAGAGAAGGTGGGCCTGTGATCAGAAGATCGCTGGTTCAACTCCCTATACCGACAACATAAAAGATGTGGGTGTGAAAGGAGAAACACTCACACCTGCCTCCACCCACATTTGCCCCACTCTGGGCCCTTGAGCAAGGCCGTTATCCCCCATCATCTGCTCCTCTGGGTGCCCTAGATAGCAGCTCTCTGCTCCACACAGAGGGCTGTGGTAGCTCGGTGGTCTGTGGTTGAATCAGGAAGGGCATCCAGCGTAAAAATAATTGCCAAATCTTCATGCGACTTAGTTTGCTGTGGTGACCCCTGAAGAAGGGAGAAGTCGGAAGAAGGAAAAAAAGTATTTCCCCCTAATATTACTGTATAATTAATGTTATATACTTAATTGCTTAGCTTGCTTTGTATTATCTTGTTCTGTGTGATGTTTTTACTTTTTGACTTTTTTAAAGGAATTCAAAATGCTTTTTAGTGATTCGTTTTCAGCTTTTTTACCTAATTACAGTTAAGGATCACTAGAAGTCAAAACCTGCAACTTTTTTTTTTTTTATCTAGAGGCAGCAAGTCTATGTATAGACCTGCTTAATTTAATAATTATATTAATAAGGCTTTTGACTATATATAATTTTTGAAAATAGAACAAGTATGTGTTTGGTTATAGATTCAAGGGCTGATATTTAAGCTCTGAACCTACTAATATTATTGCCCTCACTTTCTTCAGATTATACCCAAGATTAAAAACACATTTAGTTTTTCTTTAAACTAACATCTGACGACATGAGGTAAAATTAAAGGTCAATTAAAAGCGATTAAAAAGTAATAACTAAAAAAAGAATCTGGAGAGACTTGCAGTGATTCAGATGCTCCTGAAACGATCTGATAATAAAACCACAACTGTTTGGTAATTAAAGCACCACGATGATTCATTCTTGTGGAGAAACTCCAGTGGAGCCACAGCTATGCATGATAGACTGCATCAATCATAGTACATAAATATTCAACAGTTTGTTGTGAGGGACTACAAAGATGCTTTTCGTTTGCAGCA